ATGTTAAGGAACATCTCACGAATCTGAATATGCAAAAAAATCTAGTCGGAAAATTTCTCCCACGAATGCGAGGTTTTCGCCTTGTCTACGTGGCGAATTATATAATTAAGTGTGCACAAAGCAGGCGCTGTCGGAGCATTAATTTTGGTGCAATTGCAATTTAGATTTTATGGTGCAGAATTTTACAAAATTTCTGGATGCGTTGGAAGTGGTCCGATTTTAATTTTTCAGCTAGATTTTAAAAGTAGAAGTTTAATACTAACAAAACGTACCTATATTATAATTTTCTGATAAAATGATGCGAACATACATGCTCAAAAACGGACTAGCGCACGTACATGGTCGAGTAATGGGGGAAGATGATGAGAGGCAGTGGATATATAAAATTTTGAATATTGGCAGGAATGAATTCATCACCATCTTCTTCTTGCAAGAAATCTGTTTCTTCAAAAATGCATTCTGTAAATTATTCGGTATCATCTGCAGTTTATCGATTATAGGTTTCTCTACGTGTTTGCATGATTAGCCATGGATTTTTTTTTTAAATTGTTTTCAGTAGTTGTAAGAGCAACTGCACAACACAAAGCTGTAACTGCAGAAAACACGGCTTGAAAGGTACGGAAATTTGCAAAAATTGGCTTTGCCAATCGTGCGAATAAAATGTCTACTAATAAATTATTTCATGTTCATTCTAATTCTACTTGAGTATAAACGAAATTAGACGTTACAGTAATTAGGCGAGAACCAATGCCATTGTGATTCGGAACATCAAAAAGACTCCGCACTGTTGTCATGAAAGTATGGGTTCGATCAAATTAGCTAAAACCGTAGTATGTTGTTGGTTTTATGTTAAGCAGAGAACGCATTAGGCGGTTGCGGTCCGTTCCATATTTTATAATGTATGCATTCGCAACTTATCAAGCCCCAGTATCTTATAAACCGTAATATCGCTGCTATCACTACAAATTTCCAGTTGGGACATTTAGGCAAAATTAATTTCTATACAAGCTCACAATAAACCATTACAAGAAGTAAGTACCTACAATAGATGTTTATACAAAAAAAGTCGAATATTCAATATTCTTAAAATTAAATACAAAGATTATACAGAATGGAATATCAGAAATAAACTCATCATCAGTACTAAAATAGCATTTCGTCATAAAAAAATTTTTAGTGAAATTATAAAATGATGTGAGACATTAATTTAATATTCTCGTGCTTGAAGAAATGAACCAATTTATTATATATTTATTTATTATTTATTTTTTTATTTATTTTTTTGGCCAGGCAAAGATACAAATTTGTACATATGGCAAGTCAAGTATACTAAAAGAAACATACATCGATAGTGACAATAAAAATACACAGTTAGCATCATTTACCACTTATAAAATCCTCCACACTATAAAAACCTCCAACTGACACAAATTCTTTAGTTTTGTTTTTAAATTTTCTATAATCAAGTATACATCTAATTTCATTAGGAAGAGCATTGTACAAGATTACACAATTATAATATGAAGATTTTTTAAAAGCACTTGTATGGTGAGAAGGAATACTCAACAGCTCACCATGTCTGGTCATATAGTTGTGAAAATATGTCCGTTTATTAAAAAGACTTAGATTATTTTTTGTAAAAATTAGACATCTTAAGATGTAAATTGAGGGTGTTGTGAGAATTTGCTTATCCTTAAACACATTCCTACAACTCTCATTCACCTTCAAGTTGAAAAGTAGTCTAATAATTCTTTTTTGACATATGAAAACTCTTTCCCATTCACTACCTCTACCCCAAGCGAGAATGTTGAACGCTATGTGACTGTATACCATGGAATAATAAACATTAACTAAACCCGCCTGATCAAGAGTATGCTTTAACTGCAGTATTGCAAAGAATGCTTTATTTAACTGACCACAAACATGGTCAACATGCTTATGCCAGGAGAGCCTAGAATCAAGGATGGTGCCCAGAAGTTTTACCGAATCTGACATGGTACCTTCATCGGACATGAGGTTTGCAGGTAGGGGCCTTTGAAGATGAAAATTAATGTATACCGTCTTTTTGGTGTTTAGGATTAATTTATTTCTATGGCACCATACACTCAATGAATCTACCACATTACATATAATTGTTCGGACCTCCTCAGGTGTATTTGCTGATACAGTAACCGTTGTGTCGTCAGCAAACATTGTTACATGACCATGCTCAATGTATGTTGGCAAATCATTGACATAGAGCATGAACAGTAATGGACCTAGTACGGAACCCTGAGGTACTCCAAGTGCAACCGCATATATATCCGATTTTTTCTCGTTTATATTGACTACCAGAGACCTATTTTCCATGTATGAAGTCAGCCATGCAAGCATGCTACCTCTTATACCCAGACTGTATAATTTCTGGCTCAAGATCTCTTTATCGACAGTGTCAAACGCCCTGGAGAGATCAAACAGAAGTGAAACCACATACTTACCAGCATCCAAGCACTGATACACATATTTGAGAAGGTGACAAGATGCCGTCTCAACCGATTTATTAGACCTAAATCCATGCTGGGATGCAGTCAGCAGATTATTTTTTTCAACAAAGTTGATTATTCTGTTATATACTACTTTCTCATGTATTTTAGACAAAACACTCAGCAAAGAAATTTGTCGGTAATTCTCCATTTCTTTAGGATCACCTTTCTTTAATAGGGGTATAACAGTTGCCAATTTAAAACAGTTAGGAAATATTCCGGTTTTAATTGATTCATTTATGAGATAAACAAATGGCTGTAGAATATTGTTCTCTATATTTTTAATTAATTTAGCTGTTAAGCCGTCATAACCGCTTGAATTTTTATTTTTAAGTTGTGAAATAATGACAAGCACCTCCTCCACTGCAACGTCATAAAAAACCATTGAGTTTACAAGGTTATCATTTAATGTACAGGGTAAAGAAAGATTTGACCCAAAATGGTCTCTAATTTTATTTTGTGCTACAGTAGAAAAATGACATCCAAATTCCCTGGCAACTTTATTACAGTCACTTATGATGGTATCATTAATCTTGAGAATGATTTGGTCCCTATTTTTCTTTTTATTCCTATCTAAAATTTTATTGACAATGCTCCAAGTTTCTTTCATTTTGTTTGCTGAATTATTTATTTTATTATTGTAATAGGTTTGTTTAGTTATATTTATATTTTTTCTGTAATTTTTTTTTTCATTCTCATATTTTACCTTAAATAATAAATCTATTTTGGGTTTATTATTTCTAGTTATATTAATCCTAGAGAAAGGGACTATAAGGGCTCCACGGTGCCTAGTGTTATATTCATGTACACTAGAATGTGTCGGGATGTTTGGCAAATTTTTATGAACTAGATACAGTGATTCAAGTAGATATAGGCACGGAAATGGCAATAGCTTATATTTTCGGAAGTAAACCCTACTATGAGTATAGTTTGATACACCCGCTATAAGACGAACAGCGGCCTTCTGTATCACAAATGGTTTGAGAGCAAATCTTGAATTACCCCACAAGTTAACTCCATAAAGAAGAAAACTGTGGATCAATGAAAAATAGACTACTCGCATAACTTTGCTATCCACAGAAGGCCGCAGCTGTCTATTAACATATATCTGGGTCGCAAGCTTTGAGCACAAACAACGGATATGATCTGTCCATCTAAGGCCAGCGTCCAAGGTAATACCTAGCAACTTTACAGGATCAGATTTAGCACATTTATTATCTGATGTAAAAGACATATGTTGAGTCTTAGATGCATTCAGTTTTAATCTATTCGCTGAAAACCAGGTTTTTGCTTCCTTCAAGCTGTCTGTGCTCGAATTTCCTGGTGTTAGAATAGTAGTGTCGTCAGCAGCAAGGACACAAGTACCACTAGAAATATTTGTAGGTAAATCGTTGATATAAATCAAGAAAAGTATTGGTCCCAACACAGATCCCTGAGGAACTCCTCTTACAACAGGGAGAAGAGTAGATAATCTATTGTCAATGCTGACACATTGCTTTCTACTTAATATATAGGTTCGAAAAAGATTCAATTCATTATTTCGAATATCGTAATATTCTAATTTTTGCAGTAGTATCTCAATATCGATGCAATCAAATGCTTTACTCAAATCGCACAATGTAGAATGAGATACAATTTTATTGTCAAATCCCTCAACAATCTCCTCTATTATAGTAAGACGAATGGTAGAAAAGTTCCGCCTAAACCCAAACTGCAGTGGGGCAGAATCGCGTAACTTCCCAAATAGGACAGTAGCTTGTCTTTTAATAATAAACTGTACATATGCCATGACAATATTTTGCTGATTTATAGAAAATCTATTTTTAGTATTCATAAAGAAAATGCTTCAATATTTCCCTAGTCACCATTTTTTGAGTGTACTCCATGCAAAATGCAAAATCAGTTAAAACCACTTTAATTTAAAGTACTGATATAATAATTTTTCTATTGTTGTATGTTCTTTATAAGAAATAACTATTATAATAAGATAAAACTAAGAGTACTACAAAAAATATGTGCGAAAGTCGAACACTTGAGGTTTGACCGAATGAAAAATTACCAGTTCTAGATTCTATAAATTGAAACGCTCGTTCGTTATCACTATTAGTTCGAAATGATGAAGTACAACGGGCTGCTGCTGCTGATTTTATGCGCCATAAGGTCATCTGTAGCGAATGTAAGTAATTATTGGCTTACTTAAATATATCGAAGTTTTGTAAATTTGAAATGTCTTCTTTATGTAGTTATGTAGTTATTAATATCTATGTATCTAGTTAAAGTACCACAAATATCACATATTTCTTCATAAATACGTAGGTAGATGACCCGACACTTGTCACTTTACCAGAGGGCCAAATAAGAGGTCAAGCCTTGCAGTCTCCAAACGACAAAGTTTATTACGCATTTCAAGACCGTACCGTACGCAGCTCCACCTATAGGCAAATTAAGATTTCAAGTAAGGATGAAAACATATATATTTTTTTACTTTTTATTATTAACGTTTCAATTCATTTTTAGGTACCTGTAGCGCCAGCAAAATGGGATGGAATATTAAACACCACGAAAAATGAAAAAATTTGTTACCAAAATGGAGACATGTACATTTCGGTTTCCGGATTAATTCCAACGGAAGACTGTTTGTATTTGAGTGTTTACACTCCTCTGGTAAGAATAGTTACACTTACCACAGCCTAAGGATGCTATGCTAATACTGCGTTTTTTTAACATCAACAATTTTGGACATTATTATCACACTCTTTTTGCCGATGCATATAACGATTACTATTATTTAGATTCAAAGAAAACAATAAAATATGAATAATTATATGCTTAAGACGCGGTATATTCAGGGCCAAAAACATTATTTTTGATTTTATAATAAACTTATGCAAAAATTGATACAGGCGTATCTCCAATAAAATTATATCTCAAAATGTTAAAGCTGTAGTTACTTTACTGTTCGCTTTCAACTATCGTCTTTATCGATGCATATTTTCTTTTAGAAACCTGGAGATACTTCACAAACCCCATTACCGGTGTTAATATGGATACACGGAGGTGGATTTAAAAATGGAGTTGGTGCTTTTCAAGTATACAAACCTGGATTTTTTATTGACCATAATATTGTTATTGTCTCAATAAACTACCGTGTAGGAGTTCTAGGTAACTAACAAATATAATATATAAACGCTTTAAGTAAAAATAATAACAATAATGGCATAATTACAATTCCATTAGTTAGGACCCTTAAAAGAACATTTGTAGAGCTAAAGGTTTAGAGATAATGTGACAACTGCAGTAATGCAAAACTGATTAAGTAGGATTTTCGTAATGAACAACTTCAAGTAGGAGAACCATGTCAGTAAATATAGACCAGGTAATAAAGAACGATTTACCCCAAAATATCTAAATTTTCGCGGCCCGGTCCGATTTTAATGCAGTTTTTTGCATTTTGTTCAGAAAGACCGTCGGAAAAAAGTCCCGCCTTTTTTATTATCCGGAAGGGGCGGAAATGCATCGCGGGTGCATAAAGTGCATCTAGAAGTGCATCGCATCCGAGAAACTTGCCAAAGTGCACGATATACCGCAAAAATTGGTACTCGGGGGTTTTGGGGGGCGCAGAATTCGAATATGCATATATCCAGTCCACCCGACCCCCCGGAGGGCGACTTCCGGCCGCCTGGGGGGAACGGGGGGCACGTGGATTGCAAGGTTCTCCGAATGACTGGAAAAATGGATCTCGGGGGTTTTNGATATATATTATACACAATAGTTTTTAATGTGTGATTGTATGTTTGTGTTTGCAAAACTCTTTCCAAAGTTGTTTAAGGCTTCAATCGAAAACATTAATTCCAAATATTTCGAATTTTAACCACCAAGAACGGCGGTGACAACATTTTTAACATTAAGGCCATGTTTCGCATGTCTTGTACAAATTTAGTTTTGTGCAACTGTCTCGGTTTCAAAAATACAATATCTATGTATGTTTTCAGCCACGAAATTTGATAATTCCAAATATTTCGAATTTTCACCACCAAGAATGGGGGTGACAATATTTTTAACATTAAGGCGATGTTTCACATCGTGTTAGCTATGTTCTGTACAAATTTAGTTTCGTGCAACTCTCTCGGTTTCAAAAATACATAACCTAAAAACAAAATAAAAAAAATAAAAAAATTCTTTACTTACTTCAAGAAGAAAAAATAATTATACAATTATTTCTCCAACTAACATAATAAACTCTTTTGTGGATTTTTTCATACAGAATTATTCGCATGACACTTCAGTAAGGCTAAAAAAACATAAGCCGATATATATTATACACAATAGTTTTTAATGTGTGATTGTATGTTTGTGTTTGCAAAACTTTCCAAAGTTGTTTAAGGCTTCAATCGAAAATTGTTCTTAAACTTTAGAAAAAATCTAAATTTGACTCAATATATAAGGTGTTAATGAAATATGTGCGCACATTTAAGGGATGAATTCAGTGATTTTACACGAGAAAGGTTACATAAACATAGGTTCACAACAGATACTTTTCGAGATATAGTGTGTTGAAATTAAAAAATACTCACCATTTCTAAAATATTTCTGGAGTTTTATGCAGAATGCCGAAACTAGTAGTAATAGAATTATCAAAATAATCAGTAGTGTCTAATTTCTGAGGTTTTTAGTTTAAGTAATTCCCAGTATCTTCGCCACTGGCACAAGTATCAGCTTATATTAAAAAAAATTGAATATATATACTGCTGTCAGTCATATATAATGATTATGAGATATTTGAAGTTTAATGATTCAACGTTTTCTTTATAAAAAAAATCTAAGTTCCCTTTTTAGCACAATTTTTCCAAAGGTAAAGAGACGTAAACAAATATTTCAGATTCAATTTGAGATATAGGCCGTTCGCAAACACGGCCACTTGTGGTCGCCACTAGTGGCGGCCACCAAGTGGCCGTGTTTGCGAGCGGCCTTTGGGTTCAGCGCAAACACAGCGTTAGCAGTGGCTCGATCGGGCCACACGTTGTGGCAGAAGTCGTACCTCGCTGCTTGTAGCCGACGATAGCTACTCTTCTTTCGGCGCACACGCGGCCACACCAAGCGGCCACAGTCTATCGCCACGTTTCTGTTCGACTGGTACGTATTCTGAATTATGAGCACAGAAATGGAGGACATTATAGACGTAGATGTGTTTATATCCGAAACTGACTAGAGACGATACTGGATAGAAAATTCATGAAAAGTGGCGGCCACTGGTTAAAAAATTAGAAGCGCGTGGCGGCCACCTGTAGCGAATACTAGTGGTTGCTTCTAGCCACTTGGTGGCCGCCACTAGTGGCGACCACAAGTGGCCGTGTTTGCGAGCGGCCATAATTGCTTCAAGGAGATATCTTGTTTTCACAAAAGTATTTGATAGTTTAGATCTCTTGTTCAATAAGCTCTCTTTCGGTTTCTCTAACCCCCTGGTAACTTTATCTCAAATAATTATCGTTTTAATATATTGCAACGTCGTGTATACCACAGGGATCTGTATTAGGAAATATTAGGGAATTCTGTTTTTTTCTTAATGACATAGGTGACAAATATAAGTGAAATTATTATTATGGAATTATATATAATAAAATCGAAAGTATACAAGGCTAAAATATTATCAAGACTAAATTTTTATGTAATCAGTCACTGTAATGTCATTTATTTATCAATACTGAATTTATATTATATTATTATATTATGGAATTATATATTGTACATATAAATCGAAAGTATACAAGGTTAAAATATTATCAAGACTAAATTTGTATGTACCTTGTCATTGTAATGTCATTTATCAATACCGAGAACGAACAGTTTAAATGTTCTCCTCTGTAATATATTTAACCGTGAATTAGACTTATAGTTGGATAATAATTTTAACTGCTTCTTGTCGGTCATTTTTCGAATATTAATTCATAAAGAATTTTAGCACTTTTTTATTTATTAATTTTTGATTTTATTTTCCATATTTTTATTTTTGCTTTCTAATTATATGTTATTTCTTCTCTTATAACTTTTTATGTTTTTTCATGGTTTTATTAACATAACATTGTTTTTGATATTATCTTTTAATTTGTTACCCATATTCTTACCATGTATTTGTATTTCTTCTTATCCTGCCTTAAACTTGGAAGAGGAATACGTTAAAAACAAAGATAAAATAAACAAGTAATAACATTTCATACCCCTCGGAAACAATATCAGGCACGGCCTCTGGAACAAATGAATAGTACTTACAAAATAATAAGTAATAATATTAAAACCCACCCCTAAAATACTGATAATCTTATTCTCAATTTATTCTAATGTCTCAATCATAATCTTTCAGGATTTCTAACAACAGAAGACGGAGTCATCCCAGGAAACTTAGGATTAAAGGATCAACATTTTGCTTTTCAGTGGGTTAAAAATAATATCGATCTATTTGGTGGGGACCCCGAAAAAATAACGATATCTGGACAGAGTGCTGGAGGGTCATCTGTGGGATTACAATTAGTAAGTCAACGGAATAAAGGTTTATTCAGAGGTGCCATTTTACAAAGTGGTACCTCATTGGGTCAGGGCGCACATNACAATCAGGCCCCGGGGGAAAAATGAGAAGAGCACGAAATTCGATAATATTCTGAGATGCTGCTTTTCGAAATTCCCGCTGTATACGCTCTCGAATCTCAGGTATACGGATGCGCGCAGCTGTCTAGCGGTACCTATACATAACAGTGGAATTTTTGGGGAAGGGTCCCAGAAAAGTGGAAGAGACAGATGAAGGGAACTTTAGAAGACCTCCCTACCCCCCACCGCCCCCTCCACAAGCACAGGGGATATTTTTCATCCTCATATTCGGAATCAGCACCCGCGAAAACCCCCGAGATACATTTTCCCAGTCATTTCGAGAACTTTAAATTTCATACCCCCCCTCCCCACCGCCCTCCCCCACCTTCACGAGCACTGGGGATATTTTTCACTCTCGACTTCGGAATCAGCACCCGCGAAAACCCCCGAGATCCATTTTTCCAGTAATTCGGAGAACCTTGCAATCCACGTGCCCCCCGCGCCCCCAGGCGGCCGGAAGTCGCCCCCCGAGGGGTCGGGTGGACTGGATATATGCATATTCGAATTCTGCGCCCCCCTAAACCGCCGAGTACCAATTTTTGCGGTATTTCGTGCACTTTGGCAAGTTTCTCGGATGCGATGCACTTCTAGATGCACTTTATGCACCCGCGACGCATTTCCGCCAATTCCAGATAATAAAAAAGGCGGGACTTTTTTCCGACGGTCTTTCAGAACAAAATGCAAAAAACCGCATTAAAATCGGACCGGGCCGCGAAAATCTAGATATTTTTCTCTTTATTGCCTGGTCTAATAAGACGAACGGTTTCTATAAGTATTCTTATAATATTTACCCTTTTTAGTATAATTGGTCATTTTACAAAAAATTATAAAAAAACTGTGTATGTAATAATTTTATGATATTAAGAACTGAGATAAAATCAGATACAATAGCACCTTATAATTTTTTCATCAGTGGGCTAAAAGCGAAATTAAAAAAAAATTAAAAAAATTCTAGATTTATTTCAAGAAGAAAAAATAATTGTACAATTATTCCTCCAACTGACATAATAAACTATTTTGTGGATTTTTTCAAGCTGAATTATTCGCATGACACTTCAGTACGGCTAAAAAACACAAACCGATATATATTATAACAATAGTTTTGAATGTGTGATTGTATGTTTGTGTTTGCAAAACTCTTTCCAAAGTTGTTTAAGGCTTCAATCGAAAACATTAATTCCAAATATTTCGAATTTTAACCACCAAGAACGGCGGTGACAACATTTTTAACATTAAGGCGATGTTTCGCATCGTATTAGCCATGTCTTGTACAAATTTAGTTTCGTGCAACTCTCTTGGTTTCAAAAATATTTGAAATTTTAATTCATGATTCAATGTTTTGTTTATAAAAAATTCTAAGTTCTCCTTTTATCACGACTTTTCCAAAGGTAAAGAGACGTAAACAAATTTTATATTTGAGATTCAATTTGAGATATAATTGCTTCAACAAATACAATATATCTTTAGTGAAAACTAAAGTATTTAATAGTTTAGATCTTTTGCTCAATAAGCTTTCAAATATTGGTTTTTCTAACCCTGGTAACTTTATCTCAGATAACTATCATCTCAATATATTCCAACGAATGCAACGTCGTGTATACCACAAGGATCTGTATTAGAAAATATTAGGAAACTTGCTATTCCTAATATATTATCAAGACTAAATTTGTACGTACCTTGAATAAACCGCATTGCAATGTCATTTATTTATCAATATCGAGAACGAACAGTTTAAATGTTCTCTGTAATATATTTAACAATGAATTAGATTTATAGTTAAATAATAATTTTAGCTGCTTCTTGTCGGTCATTTTTCGACTATTAATTCATAAAAAATTCTAGTACTTTTTTTATTTATTAATTTTTCTTATTTTATTTTCCACATTTTTATTTTTGCTTTCTAACTTTTTGTTATTTCTTCTCTTACAACTTTTTATGTTTTTTTCATTGTTTTATTAACATTGTTTTTGATATTATCTTTTAATTTGTTACCTATATTGTTACCGTGTTTTTGTATTTCTTCTTACCCTGCCGAAAACTTGGAAGAGAAATACGTTAAAACCAAAGATAATATAAACAAGTAATAACATTTCATACCCCTCGAAAATAATATCAGGCATAGCCTTTGGAACAAATGAATAGTACTGACAAAATAACAAGTAATGATATAATCCGCTCCTAAAATACTGATAATCTTATTTTCAATTTATTCTAAAGTCTCAATCATATTCTTTCAGGATTTCTAACAACAGAAGACGGAGTCATCCCAGGAAACTTAGGATTAAAGGATCAACATTTTGCTTTTCAGTGGGTTAAAAATAATATCGATCTATTTGGTGGGGACCCCGAAAAAATAACGATATCTGGACAGAGTGCTGGAGGGTCATCTGTGGGATTACAATTAGTAAGTCAACGGAATAAAGGTTTATTTAGAGGTGCCATTTTACAAAGTGGTACCTCATTGGGTCAGGGCGCACATCAAAACTATGCAAGATTCTACGCTTTCGAATTAGGTCGAAGTTTGGATCCAAGTTTCACTTCGGATAATTCAACGGAATTACTGGAACTGTTGCAAAGGCATCCTGCTTCCGACATAAACGACAATACAATTACTGTAAGTAATTAATATATTTTTCAAATGGATTTATTAAACACTAAACTCAAAAATTTACTAGGCTGCTGTTGGAAAAGAGACTGGATTACTGGAAGGCCAAGGTTCAATATGGCTGCCTGTAATTGAAGATGCTAGTCTAGAAGGAGCACTCCTCACGGGTTTATTTCATGAGGACATCAGAACGGGAAACATAAACCAAGTTCCCATAATTATTGGATTTAACTCCGAGGAAGAACTATCGTTTTTGAAGAGTGGTAAGATTATGAAAACTTATTCAAACTTTTTATTATTTGATACCAATGCCACGATATTTTAAGGTCCTTCAGTAGTTGAGGTGTATGCGAAATATTTCGACAGTGATTTAACAAACCTCATCAGAAACCAGTTCAATATGACCAAAGAGAACAAACTGACAGCTGGCACTAGACTGAGACAAATTTACACCGATGGAACATTCGAAGACGATCCTGGGCAAGTAGTAAAGGTAACATCCATATATTTTTTAAGCTGCTTTGCATGTATTTGTTGAAATTGTTACTAGTTCAAAAGGAAAATTTTCTCAATGACGAAAAAATAGCATATTAACCCTTCATAAAATCTGAACGGACACGTAACTAAACCTCGGAAATTGGGTGGACTTGGGAAGAAATCACAATTTTGTTATCAGAGAAAAATCACAAGTTCAAATTGTTTTCTCACTCTTCCAAAAAAAAGAACTTCTTGCTTTCACAATGTGTTGCTGCATATTAACCTTTCCAACGTTTAAAGAGCGTATAAATAATTGAAACAAATGATCTATAATACAATAAAACATTTTTTTTAGTTTTTAAGTGATCACTCGTTTACAACCCCACTTAGTAGGCATGCAAAGTTACAATCCAACTATACCGACGTTTATATGTACCAGTTTTCATACAAAGGCAATCTGGGAGATATGAAGGATTTTGAAATTGCAGGTAAGTTTTCTGTATTTATGTAATGTTAACAATACGATATGAAGTTAAGACATAGAGAGCAATCGAGAAGGGATTGTCAAATGTAGGCATATTTATTCCTTAGGCAAATAGTTGTCCAAGTTTTCCTCATTTAATTGTATTTTCTATTAAAATAATCTTAACAATTATTCCACATACGAATTTCTCCTAATAAAAATGTCGAATTTATTATTTTTCTTGTGTTAAATGATGACATATTAGTATTATTGGGTGTTGGATGACTAATATTTCCAATTACTTACGTAATCTATACTTCTAAGAGCGTTTTATCTGGTAGACCTGTAACTTCATTATATATCGAACAAAATGAGGAACCTTCTATAATAAGATATTTTTCCAAGAATTTAAAGTATTGTTTATTTAATTTAAAATGGCAAATATATAGACTGTTCTCTTTAAAAAACAAAAGTTTGGTATAAGTATATAAAAAATAGTAGAGACTTTCGTATATTGTACATTACTTTTACAACTATTCTTAATTTAGCTCCTCAAATATCCAACCTTATATTTAAGCTAGTCAGATTCTGACCTATATTCAAAAGAGGTGAAAAATATGTAGAAAACTACAGGTTCTTGCGCAATTTTGTGTAATTTTGGCAAACTGTTTGAAATCATTGCTTACCGTTTTGTACTTTCGGGCTAAAACTGATATTTCCACGACATTCTGCTTTGTAAATTGTCAAATTTTGGTATACCGATAAAGTTTTTGAACTTTTCAAACAGATTACTGAGAGTTCACAATCGTGATTCTAGCTAAACTGAAATTGCTGCCCCAATGTTCAGTTTTTGAGTATTGTTGATATTTATGATAATTTAATAATATTATTTTATACAAGTCTATTCAAGCTATTCACTTCTGTTTCATTAGTTAAAGGTTGTATTGCCTTAAAAATTATATCTATCAGCATGAATGAATAATGACAAAATAATAAACTAATAATAATAATCACTGAACATAACAAAATGTTACATTATGACAATAAAAATTAAGCTGAGGAGTTGAATTTAAAAATTTGGGTGTAATATTTTATTTTAAATTAAATTGTAGGTATGCCTCGTGTTACGTGCATTATATTGTAAGAAATATTAAGCATTTTAAAGAAGCTTTCATAGTCACTTTTGTATAATGCGTTTGTCAGATCAAAACTAGAGCATGCATTCATCATCTGAATCCCAATATTTGTCACTTACTAGATTAAAAAAAGTTCACAGGAAATGTCTTAAATATCTCCCCTAGATAATATTTATCTTATCAGAAGCACTTCACAATCTTGAGTGGATTTGATAGGAATCATTAAACATTAAGTCAAAGTACTTTTCTCTTTTATTCTTATACATATAAACTTTTGAATAATAACTTTGATTATCCTGATATACTTTGTAACTCCTGTACATTATTATACTTATCTACTCCAACAGAAACAATGTTACGCTACATCCATCAATTTATACTATATAAATCGTGTAACATTAGGTCACATTTTAATTTGGCTAGCACCAATGTTTGTAATTAACTTTAGTATTTCCGGATGTCCCTTTTTATACAGGCCCTTTCAGAAAATGTAGGGGATGATAGTACGACAAAAAATAAGAATTTTTTGTCCTATGAACTATATGTCTATGTCCTCTTGTTTTCGAGATACAGAGCGACAAAGTAAAATTTTTTAAATAGAATTTTTACAAAAATTTACATACGGTGCGAAATATTTTTATGAAATTTGGTAATCCGGGATTTTTAAGGATGCCAAATACGCCTTATATCAAAATTTTAGTGATTGTTAGTGACTGTAGTTAGTAATGACTAATTACAGTCACTACAATTTTGATATAAAATTAATTAGATTTTAAAATGTCACTGAGAATGTATGCGTTGTCTATGAGACATCCTACGTTTTGATATTAGCCTACTTTGAGAAAAGTCACTTATTTTATAAACACACATATACACACACAATGTAAGAGTTTAATCAAAAGCCTTTTTTCTCGAAAACCATCCACATTAGGAAGTTCTAACAAGAGTACAATATTTTTAGAAAATAAATTGTACATTAGAAATTGGAGTCCGAATGGTAAAAAAACTAACCTCACAAAAATTAGAGCTTAAAATCTAATACGAATGTAGCATAACTAGCGCCCTCTGTGAAATATACAAAAAATTATTAAACCAGTGTATTTGGCATCCTTAAAAACCCAGGAATACCAAATTTCAAAAAATATTTCTCACCGTTTGGAAATTTTCGTAAAAATTCTATTTAAAAAATTTTACCGTTTGGAAATTTTCGTAAAAATTGTATTTAAAAATTTTTATTTTGTCGCTTTGTATCTCGAAAACAAGAGGAGATAGACATATAGTTAGTTCATAAGACAAAAAAATGCTTATCTCTGTCATACTATCACCTCCTGTATAAACTGGAGGTCTTTCTGAAACAGACTGTATATACAGGGTGTTGCATGACGTACTGGACATACTTAACGAACAAGTCCCTGAGCTCATTCTGAATAATAAAATTATAATATACAAGACCCATTAAAGTTTAGAAATAATGTTTTGATATTCAATCTCACCAGCTATGAACATGTTAGTTGACAAAACAAATGATAGCTGACATGTCAAAATTTATAAACGTCAGTTTATGTAGTAAACTGTGTCAACGTGTTCCTAATAATACCTTTTCTGTCAATATACCTGTGCTGTTTCCAAACGAAGAGTTTGTCGATGGATTTTGTGATGGAAATTCGCGAGCTGCCCTCAGAGAATATCAACGACGATTTCCAATTAGAAGAGTGCAAAATCATGAAATATTTAAGAGAATTTCAGCACGTATGAATTGTCCTCATTGGAGAGTATGGCGAACATAACATAGCGATCTATTGTATCCTTATCATGTACAACAGGTTCGACATCTGAAATCGCACGACTTACTTTCACGGGTACATTTTTGCCAATGGATTCAAGCAAATCCTCAATTAGTAAAACGTATTTTATTTACCGATAAAGTAGTTATTTATTCGAGACGAAAACCCCTTATACCAAATTTGATGGGAATCTGTTATTATTTGAAAATTTGGTCAGCCATCTTGGATCCGCCATCTTGAATTTTGCAAAATTGACCTCGGATCCGTGATCAGCGACCCCGTCAACCCCCGTATACCAAATTTGGTGCGAATTTTTTATTTCTTTAAAATTCGTGATATCTGACCTTAATTGACCCGTTTTTTTGAGGTTAGAAAAAGAACCATCAATTCTGACCGATAACTCACGTTCGGCGGGGTCTTAACTATATAAATGAACATTTGAATATAGAAAAAAAATTAATTGTTTCTAGTTTCTAGCACTTTCTCGTGAATTTTTGCTATTTCTGACCTGTTTTTTGAGGTTAGGAAATTCCTGCGATGTGATAGCTCAATTCTGACACCGGATTCGTGATCAGGAGGCAAAAATACTACTGATAACATATGTCGCATGAAAAGTACAGACTACTTTTTTTTTGTGTGGCTGTGTTATTGACAAATGTCAGCAAGTGAGGAATAACCCGGGGATTTTTAGAGCAGCCACGCAATCTATTCCTGGTGGTGGTGACCCCATGTATATTATAACTTTTTAACTCGGCATGATCTAAGGAACTTGCATCTTCAGTTTGCCCAGTACTACCTACAATACTCTGTATATGTATAGCAAATAAATAAATAAAGATCGCTATATAGATGATTTTAAATTAGACATGGTATTTATTATCAGTGGTTTAAGTAAAATTTGTCTTTTCACCTGTTATAATTCATGGATGGAAAGAAACTGTGTAGAATTCAGTCATTGGTGCAACAATGTCTCAACACAAAAACTCCATACGAATTCAAAAATTAGCCACGTACACGGTCAATATTTTCTATACTAACAATGAATATTTGAAAGCTACCACATAATCTGATTTCAGGTGTTCGAGGTGTTGGTCACGGTGAAGAGTTGGGTTATTTATGGGACTCGCACCTTTCTGATGGATCATCAGGAGATGATCCAGAAGATATTACGACTCGTCACCGTTTGTTAATCCTGTGGTCAAACTTTGTCAAATACTTGTGAGTACTTATATTCAGAATCGCGTTAAATAATATTCATGCATGATTTTCTTTAGAAACCCAACTCCAGAAGTGGACAGCTTCCTAGGTAACGTGACGTGGGAGAAAGTTAGTCCAAATAATTTGGTGTATTTGAACATCAACGATACACTTGAAATGCAGACGAATCCTAAAGACTACCTCAAATGGGAAAGAATTATAGACGTGTATGCTATAACTCCATTGGTTAATTACTAATGTATCTTGAGAAATAAACTGTATCATTTATATCGTTTTTATATATGCAGCGCATTTTCTATTAGGTGCAATCTGGTCGAAAGCAGTTTGAATGCGATTCACCTATCCCTGCAATTAGTAAACAAAATATTTGTTTTGTTAATATTATGGAATGCACAAAGTATGCAATGAAGACGTTAAATGTTAGTTGTTGTCAAACTCGATAAAGCACCTTCTTTTAGTTATTACAATGTTGCATAATGTCTAGGTCATTGAGGAATATTTTTGATAAAAAAAAAGGAAAAGCAATGTAGTACCAAGGTACTAAAATATTTGCTAAATCTGTAAAAAAGTTATTATTTTATTATATTAAAGTAGCATAGCTCTTCACACAACCCCATATGCTACAATCTGAAGTTTTCTGTGAGGATGATTTCAAATTCGTGTTTTAAAAACAAAATTAGAAAACAGCTTACAATTATATAAAATGTAAAAGACTTTTATACATCCATTTGAAATTTAAAAAGCAGTTACAATCGCAGATTAAAGATATGAATTGGCTACTTGAATTAATATAAACCCATTTTACCAATGAAATAAAGGTAAGCGACAAAAGAGTTTTTGCTGATGCTGAAGAATTATTACTGGAAAAAGTCTGTGGCAATTTACTAGTTCTCTCAGCTTTTGTAGGAGCGGGGCATAAGTAACAAAACAGCTTTGCGATAGGTCAGCTGATAAAAACCGGAATGTAATTATAATACTAACAAAACCATGATAAAATATGAATGAAATTACGTATATATTTACCATAGTCATGAATTTCTATCACCAAAACTTGCTCATAATTAATAATAATAATAATAATAATAATAATAATAATAATAATAATAATAATAATAATAATAATAATAATAATAATAATAATAATAATAATAATAATAATAATAATAATAATAATAATAATAATAATAATAATAATAATAATAATAATAATAATAATAATAATAATAATAATAATAATAATAATAATAATAATAATAATAATAATAATAATAATAATAATAATAATAATAATAATAATAATAATAATAATAATAATAATAATAATAATAATAATAATAATAATAATAATAATAATAATAATAATAATAATAATAATAATAATAATAATAATAATAATAATAATAATAATAATAATAATAATAATAATAATAATAATAATAATAATAATAATAATAATAATAATAATAATAATAATAATAATAATAATAATAATAATAATAATAATAATAATAATAATAATAATAATAATAATAATAATAATAATAATAATAATAATAATAATAATAATAATAATAATAATAATAATAATAATAATAATAATAATAATAATAATAATAATAATAATAATAATAATAATAATAATAATAATAATAATAATAATAATAATAATAATAATAATAATAATAATAATAATAATAATAATAATAATAATAATAATAATAATAATAATAATAATAATAATAATAATAATAATAATAATAATAATAATAATAATAATAATAATAATAATAATAATAATAATAATAATAATAATAATAATAATAATAATAATAATAATAATAATAATAATAATAATAATAATAATAATAATAATAATAATAATAATAATAATAATAATAATAATAATAATAATAATAATAATAATAATAATAATAATAATAATAATAATAATAATAATAATAATAATAATAATAATAATAATAATAATAATAATAATAATAATAATAATAATAATAATAATAATAATAGATAGATAAAAATGAAACATAAAACGCACCACAGAAATGCGACAACCCCCAAATCCAAAGCCAAAGGTTGTGCAGAAAAACGCGGACAAACGCCCATTATCCATCAACATTGTCAGTGCCAGGGATCGAAGACGGACCAGAATAGGAAGCCTGGCCGAGACATGCTTGCCACCGTACTCTCGACCGACTACGCTACCGTGGTGGATAGATAGATAGATAGATACATAGATAGATAGATAGATCTTTATTGACATTTATGTATAGTAAGTGTTACATTTATAGTCATAACATAAGCTGAGTAGTGTTCATAAAAGTTAAAAATTCATCCAAAGTATAAAAACAATGATTTAAAATAAATGATTTCGTAAACCTATGAAAAGTCTTTTGAGATATGATTTTAATCTGTTTTCGTCTACAAAAATTATCAAACTTGTTGAACAGACTGATTTTAAGCTTATTACGTTTAGTTAAGGTAATACGCAAATAAGATTCAACCAGATATCTAGTGCTGTATAGCATATCTAGTGATGTATTGATGTATATCAGCATGAGATTGCAAATATTTCCTTGCTGGGAGCCAACACAGGGACACCCGCAAGTAGACGAGCAGCTGCTTTTTGTAACACAAAGACTCTTCAGGATGTTTTTAAATGAAGTAGCAAAAATGGTACCAGTGAATGTAGAGCCAAAGATAAGAGGATTGAAGTAAAAATACCTTATATGAACGTTGCATGCCTGAGGAGATATACCGTCTTAAAGGAGGGGATTGAAATTCACATTTTAATTTTTTCTTTAACATGAGGAATGCTAGAGACACGAACTTGGTATGAGCATCCTACTAATAAAGAGACAACTTTTTAATATTTGTTCGATCATTTGCGAATTTTATAAAGGAGTGAAACAATCAACTCCATTCCAATATTTTATTAGAAATTTTTTATATGAGGCAAATTATTTATTTAAAAATATTTATTGGGAAGACTGATTTATTGCGCAACTTTTTTACCTCTTGTAATTTTTCGATAAAACCGATAGTTTTCACTAAAGGAGTAATTGCAAAAATTTGTAAAAATAAAGTAGGCGGATGTCATAACAAATAAATTGTTATTTATCATATTAATAAATTGGCACTTTCTGTCAACCATTAATTAGTACCAATTGATTAATTTGTTATCAGAATAATTATGGCAAATAATATTTATACCAATGACGAATATGTCGACATGCTCCAAGTGTTTTTCGAATCCAGAAAAATTAGTAACGCTGCAGTAAGATTATACCACCAAAGATATTCAAATCGACCGATTCCTCATAGACAAACATTGGCCTCGGTGGAAAGAAAGCTTCGCGAAACTGGTAAAATTCAGCCCAATCATGAGGGTGCCGGATGAAGGGGTAATGTTAAAATGTTAAATGATTTGAGATTAATCTTATTGAGATGTGTCATACGTATTCGAGAAAATGAAGCCACCAAATCACCCGCCTGCTGGTGCCATAATTATGTATGTCAGAATGAGTTATGTAATTCCCTTTATTTTCATATATTTGTAACAGTGTTTGGAGTATGAAAAGAAGAAAAGACACGGAAGTTCAATTTTAATTAATTAGCAGAGAACCATTTATCAGCATTAAATAGGTCATTGTCCCCTAGACAGTTGCTGCATCTACTTAATAGAGTGGTGTCATCAGCGTACATGGCACAAGTTCTATTAACTATAGAGTGTGGTAAATCATTAATGTATAATAAGAAGAGAACAGGTCCAAATACTGATCCCTGCGGGACCCCATTAGGATGTTAGAAGCTTAAGTTCGTTACCTCTAATCCCGTAATATTCCAATGTCTTTAATAGAATATTTCTTTTAACACAATCGAAAGCCTTTGTGAGGTCACACATAGTAATATTACTATGTGCTCCCTCATCAGGACCTTCAACAACAATTATTTCTGTTAGCTACAAGGAAGCTTTAAGTGTAGATTTAGTTTTTCGAAATCCAAACTGAGAATCAGAAAATATGGAATATTTCTCACAGTATTCCACGAGTGTATCTCCGATTAGAGTCCCAAACATTTTATTTATTATGGGAACAATTATTGTAATGGGGCGAAAATTGTCTGGTAGAAACAAAATCTTTTCCAGGCCTCCTTTTATTATTTATTAGTTTCCAGACAGATTTGTTTTTGTCACTAGCAGTCATTATTTCGCGCATACAGGATGTCCCGGTAAATCGAGTACAAATAGATGAGGTCAAAATAATATCAGTCCTTCTTATAAATTTTTTGATACGGGCCTTCGTTAACAAGTTACGGGCCCTCAAATGTGAAAATTAAAAAGTTATTTTTATTTACAGTCTCTAAACTATTCACTTCAGCGTGATGCAAATTTGGTGATCAATAACACATGCGTATAGCTTGTTTTTGATGTTGCAAGTGAAACTTCGTTATGCTCAGAACGACAGGGACGGATTATGCCTAATGGTTAACAACCCAAAATTTTCTTTGCATGAGAACTGACAGCGACCCCAAAAGCGGAGGGGTTGAGGGGTCTACATTTTTTTGTGTGCCTGTGATTATTAACAAATTGGTATCATAAACCTACTTTTTCTGAAAGATTTTTGAACTATAATTCTTGTAATAGTTTTAAACAGGTAAATTAATTAAACTACATTAAATTAATTTTGTTAAAGAATAATTTTCCAGCTTCATTGATTAATAAGGTCGTCAGAGTAGGACAAAATGAAAACAAAAGTGCTAATGTATATCAACAACAATATTGTAAAAAAATCAAAAGATAGCTTTTAAGAATGAAAATACTATTGGCAGTAGATTTTATGGTAAATCGAAAACTAAGACGCCTTTCACATTAAAATCTAATGTGGTTTATAGAATACCTTGTGGAAACTGTAAAAAAGTTACATTGGTGAAACGGGTAGTTTTATAAATGCACGTATTTCAGAACATGAAAGAAATTAAAAAAAACAAATAACATACATCCAACGGCACTTGTAGAACATTCACAAGAATTCAATCACCATTTTGAATTTGACAAAACAGAATTACTTGGGTATCAACCTATTATCCGAAAAAGGTTACTCGAGGAAATGATTTATATTAAAAAAATTAATAGTGTCAATACTAAGAAAGATATAGATAATTTAAACTTGGTTTATTATAGTTTAACTGAAAAAATTCTCTTGCAACAATGGTTTGGTTTACTCAGATTTAGACTTTTTTCATAAACTTGATGGATTTAAATGTAAAATATACAGAGAAAAAAGAAAAGGAAGAGGAAAAAGAAGCATGATATCTATACACATTAGAATTAACGTATTTTTCAGCTACATTACTTATAACAATTTTTACTGTGAAAAAAAATGAATGTATTGAATTTGTTCCATGAAATATAAGTACACATATGAGTATCTAGATATCATCTTAATATTTAGAACTCTTAAGTTGGACAAAAGCCACTTCAAGTTTCGGTGAGTGAGTGAATAATGTTATTAATTTTAGAGCTGTTCTAGAATTTTTCTTTCTCGGGTTTATGGTAATTGTGACGGAAACAATAATGTAGAAATGTATTTGTTTTTTAAATTATTTTAATAAGTTAACGAATTTTATTTAAAAAATTTTAGAGCCCTGAGGATGGTGTAAAATAACACCGAAACGTTGGCAATGATTTGAAACATAGTGTTCTTTTATTTATCGATATTTATCCCACTAAAACCTTGACATGGATAACTAATATTTTATTTAAAGCATTAAATAATAATAATCTTATGGTATATTCAATTTTTTATTTTAATTCCAGATTCATTAAAGTAACTAAAATACTTTTGCAAAAATAAAAATCTAAGTATCACATTGTGGAATTACTGCTACTAATTTACATGTTGTGAAAATACAGAAACGCTACACGGCAGTATTCCAAATATACAGTGCGTTTCTCTTAATGTGGGAACACCTCCATATTTAGGAAGGTGTTGGCCGATTTCCAAAATTCTTTTTATTATGTGGTAGTACTCAAAAAGGTCTACTTTTTGATATTAAAGTTTTTAACATATATTTTCTACGGCCTACTTTCATTAAGAAAAGACATATTAGGCATTTTTTAAGAAAGAAATGGATAGCATTTTCGATTTGATCACACCTCAAAACCCTGAATAGAAAGTTTCATTATTATAGCTATTACAGGGTGTTTACAAAATAGGTGCAAACATTGAAAAATTTCACTCATTGCAGTGTCCTATATTAACTGTGGAAAACAGTTTTAAGGTATTTTTTTCATAATTTTAATTAATTTTTCCATGCAGTTTCATTGATTTCACTCATACAGGGTGCTCACAATAAGACAGCCAAATTATATATTTTTTTATTATACCAGAAATGACTCACAACAAACTAAAATTTAAATATTACTGTTTTCTATTAGTCCACTGTTCAATTTATCTGATCTTATTTCTAATAAATCTGCTCAACTGATGGTGGTGTTATTTGTCGACATGCTTGTCTAATTCTATTACATAAATCTTGTGGGGTCTTGTTTAATACCCCATAAAAATAAATCAAGAGGCGTCAAGTCTGGAGCTCTTGACGGCCACTCAATTAACGGAAACTTTTCTTTCTCGGGAAATTCTCATTCAACTAATGACTTACTATTACCGCATCATGTTGGTAGAGGTTCTGTCTTACATGAAGAGGAACTGCATGTACTGAATCCCAGAAATCATTATTTAAAAAAAAAATTTAAAAATCTGCGTTTAGATTAACGGTAACAATAAATGGCCCGATTATTCGATGACATAATATCCTACAAAACACATTAATTTTTTTTATTGAGATTTATGTAATAGAATTATTAGACAAGCATGTCGACAAATAACACCACATCAGTTGAGAAGAGTTATTAGAAATAAGAGGAGACGAATTGAACAGTGCATACAAAATGATGCGGTGGGCTAATAGAAAACAGTAATATTTAAATACTATTTCGTTGTGAAACTCATTTTTGGTACAATAAAAAATATATCTATATAACTAGGCTATTACATTGTGAGCATTAATGAAACTGCAAAGATATACTTACGGTTAATAAAATTATGGAAAAATACATGTATTAATAGTGGAAAATATTTTTCAAGGTATTTTAGCTTGACAATGAACAGCATTTAATTTTTAATTATATAAATTAGTAAATTCGAATTATAAGTGCTGTGTTTTTTGTAATATTAGATAGATTCGAAGATACCATTTGACCTCCTCTATTTAAATACAACTCTACATATGCCATGACAATATTTTGTTGATGATTTGTGGGAACTTTTTTTGGTAAAATTTGACTAGTCACCGGTTTTTTGAGTGTACTCCACGCAAAATGCGAATCAGTTAAAACTACTTTAATTTAAAGTGCTGATATAATCATGTTTCTATTGTTATATGTTCTTTAAAACAAATTAATTATTGTAAAGATAAAGGTTAACTACGAGTACTACTTACATAAATGACCTACGAAAGTCGAACACTTACCAGTTCCAGATTCTATAAATTGAAAAGCTCGTTCGTTATCGCTATTAGTTCGAAATGATGAAGTACAACGGGCTGCTGCTACTGATTTTATGCGCCATAAAGTCATCTGTAGCGAATGTAAGTAATTATTGGCTTACTTAAATATATCGAAGTTTTGTAAATTTGAAATGTCTTCTTTATACAAGTTTTTAATATCTATGTATCTAGTTAAAGTACCACAAATATCACATATTTCTTCATAAATAGGTAGATGACCCCACACTTGTCACTCTACCAGAGGGCCAAATAAGAGGCCAAGCCTTGCAGTCTCCAAACGACAAAGTTTATTATGCCTTTCAAGAAATACCGTATGCAGCTCCACCTGTTGGTGAATTAAGATTTCAAGTCAGGATGAAAACATATACATATTTTTTTACTTTTTATTTTTAACGTCTCAATTCGCTTTAGGCACCTGTAGCGCCAGGAAAATGGGAAGGAATATTAAACACCACAAAAAATGAAAAAATTTGTTACCAAAGTGGAGACGAGTACATTCCGGTTCCCGCATTAACTCAAACAGAAGAATGTTTGAACTTGAATGTTTACACTCCTTTGGTAAGAATAGTTACAATTAGCTAATACTGCGTCTTTTTAATATCAACAATTTTGGAAATTATGTTCACACTCTTTTTGCCGAAGCATATAACGATTCCTATTATTTAGATAAATTCAAAGAAAAAAATTAAATATGAATAATTATGAGCTTAAGACGCGGTATATTCGTGACCAAAAACATTTCTATTTGATATAATAATAAACTTGTGCAAAAATGTGATTGATACAGGCGTATCTCCAATACAATTATATCTCAAAATTTTCAACTATCGTCATTATCGATGCATATTTTCTTTTAGAAACCTGGAGATACTTCACAAACTCCATTACCGGTGTTAATATGGATACACGGAACTGGATTTAGAAATGGAGCTGGTACTATTCAGTTATACAAACCTGGATTCTTTATTGACCACAATATTGTTGTTGTCACGATGAACTACCGTACAGGAGTTCTAGGTAACTAATAAATATGAAACGCTTTTAGTAAAATTAATAACAGTAATGGCATCATTACAATTTCATTAGTTAGGACAGTTAAAAGAACATTTGTAGAGCTAAAAGTTTAGAGATAATGAGACAACTGAGGTAGTGCAAAATTGGTCACGTAGGTTTTTCGCATTGAACATCTCCAAGTAGGAGGACCGTGTCAGTAAATAAGACGAACGTTTTCTATAAGCATTCACATAATATTTACCATTTTTAGTATAACTGGTTATTTTACAAAAAATTATAACAATATTGGGCATATGATAATTTTAAAATATTGAGAATTAAGATAAAATCGGATATAATAGCACCTTAGAATTTTTTCTAACAGGGCTAAAAACAAAATTAAAAAATAATGAGAAAAAGTTTGGACTTATTTCAAAAAGAAAAAATAATTATACAATTATTTCTCCAACTGACATAATAAACTCTTTTATATTTTCTCATGCAGATTTATTCGCATGACACTTCAGTAAGGGCAAAAAAATACAAACCGATATACAGTGTGTCTACTTACGTTGGAACCATATGGAAAACTTTTTTATTATTGGTTTTCTGAAAGAAAGTTATTCTTCATAAAAAGTTCTACATCTACATAAGGGTACTTTACTCTTGAGCAAAATTCATAATTTCTGATATGCCTCGTATATGACTGGGAAATTTTGATAACTGAATATTGCATTTTAGATTTCAGATCATGCAGAACTTTTTATGAAGAATAACTTCTTTTCATAAAACCAATAATAAAAAAATTTTCCATATGGTTCCAACTTAAGTAGACGCACATACACTATAGTTTTTAATGCGTGGTTGTATGTTTGTGATTGCAAAACTCTTTCCAAAGTTGTTCCAATCGAAAATTGTTCATAAACTTTGGAAAACATCTAAATTCAGGTCAATATATAGACACACATTTTAGGGATAAATTCTGTGATTTCAGACGAAAAAGTTTACATAAACATAGGCCCACAATCGATAGTTTTCGAGATACAGGGTGTTGAAATTAAAAAAAAAATTTTCTAAAATATTTCTGAAGGCGTTTGATGTAGAAAGTCGAAATAGAATTATCAAATTATTCAGTAGCGTCTAATTTCTGAGGTTCTTAGTGTAAGCAATCCCCAGTATCTCCACCACTGTCACAAGTTATATCCGAATTCAGCAGATTTTTACCGTTAATTAGGTAAATCATTAGCTTATGTTCAAAAAATTTGTATATATATATACAAAGTTGATGTAAGTAATTATAGACTGATGCCAATCATATATAATGAGTACGAGATATTTGAATGTTTAATTCATGATTCATTGTTTTAATTATCAAATAATCTAAGTTCTCCTTAAAACAAATTTTATGTTTGAGATTCTATTTGAGACATAATTGCTTCAACGAATACAATATATCTTGATTTCACTAAAGCATTTGATAGTTTAGATCTTTTGCTCAATAAGCTCTTAAATTTTGGTTTCTCTAACACTTTGGTAACTTTATCTCAACTCTATTTTTTTAATATCTCGTCTCTTAGGTATCCAAACTAGTCATTTTTTTTTTGAGGATTTCCGTTATATTAATAAGCTTCTATTATTTTTTTTATGAATATTTGTTTGTCAATTCCATATCAGATAATTATCCTTAAATACTAATAATCTTATTCTCAATTTATTCTAAAGTCTCAATCCATATTCATTCAGGATTCCTGACAACAGAAGACGGAGTCATACCAGGAAACATAGGATTAAAAGATCAACATTTTGCCATTCAGTGGGTTAAAAATAATATCGATCTATTTGGTGGGGACCCCGAAAAAATAACGATATCTGGTCAGAGTGCTGGAGCGGCGTCTGTGGGATTACAATTAGTAAGTCAACGGAATAAAGATTTATTCAGAGGTGCCATTTTACAAAGTGGTACCTCAATGGGTCAGTGGGCACATCAAGACTTTGCAAGATTCTATGCTTTCGAATTAGGTCGAAGTTTGGATCCAAGTTTCGCTTCGGATAATTCAACGGAATTACTGGAACTGTTGCAAAGTCTTCCTGCTTCCGACATAAACGACAACACAGTTGCTGTAAGTTGAATGAATGCACTTTTTATATATAGATTTATGATACGAAGTTAAAAACTAAATATAAATCATACATTATAATCAAAATCTGCATAGGCTGCTGTTGGAAAAGAGTCTGGATTAATAGAAGGCCAAGGTTTTATATGGCTACCTGTAATTGAGGATGTTAGTCTAGATGGAGCACTCCTCACGGGTTTATTTCATGAAGACATTAGAACAGGAAACATAAACCAAGTTCCCATAATTATTGGCTTTAACTCTGAGGAAGAACTATTATTTTTGAATAGGGAAGGTAAGATTCAAACATCTTAGTATTTGATACCAATGCCAACCGGTATTTTAAGATCCTTCAGTTGTTGAGGTGAGTGCGAAATATTTCGACAGTGATTTAACCAACCTCATTAGAAACCAGTTCAATATGACCAAAGAGAACAAACTGACAGCTGGCACTAAACTGAGACAAATTTACACCGATGGAACATTCGAAGACGATCCTGGACAAATAGTGAAGGTAACATCCATAATTCAGTACCTCAGAGCTAAACTGTATTAACTCCCATTTAAACAGGAGAGCTGTTTATAAAATTTAATCTCAATTAATTGTACATAGCGCTTTTATTGTCTTTTGTCAGATGGTTAAACCAGATTAGTTGAGTGTATGCATACTAGTTTTATTGAAACAGGTTTGATCAACACCTATGTTTATTTTTCTTGAACATAGATGGAGTTCATAATATTTTTGCAAAAAAATGGAGTTAATACAGTTTAGCTCGGAGGTACAGATATAGTTTTTAAGCTGCTTTTCATGTGTTTGTTGAAATTGTTGCTAGTTCAAAAGGAAATATTTCACAATGACGAAAAAAATAGCATATTAACCTTACATAAAATCTGAACGGACACGTATCCAGACTTCGCAAATTGGGTGGACTTGAGAAGAAGTTACAATTTTGTTGCGTGGGTCACTGTCTTAATCCGTCTTATTTTATCATGTTTGAGAAAATTTACTTCCAAATAAAGTGAGATGCCGGCCAGAAATTACACTAAATTCGTTTTACTATTTTCCGTTAAAGTGACTATCTTCCAAAGAAAAAAGAACTTCTTGCTTTCACGATGTGTTGCTGCATAGTAACCTTCCCAACGTTTATAGAGCGTATAAATAATTGAAACAAATGATACATAATATAATAAAACCTTTGTTTAGGTTTTAAGTGATCACTCGTTTACAACCCCAGCTATTAGGCATGCAAAGTTACAATCCAACTATACCGACGTTTTTATGTACCAATTTTCATATAAAGGCAAAATGGGAGGTTTTAAGGATTTAGAAATTGCAGGTAAGTTTTCTGTATTTAAGCAATATTAAGAAATTCCTAAACGATGTTCCTAAACGTTAGGACGTAGAGAGCAATCGAGAGGGGTTTTTTTAATGTAGGCACATTTAATCCTTAGGCAAATAGTTGTCCCAGTTTTTCCTCATTTAATTGTATTTTCTATTAAAATAATCTTAATAGTCCACAGTACAGCCCCCCTGGAAAGTTGATTACCACATATTTTATAACTCCTGAGGGGCATCCTTTTGACGAGTGTACCACATTTCTCTTCTACGACTTTTCTCGATTCCTCCGCTTTTCCACTCGGAAAAGTACAAAAACATTTCCCAGGGTCTTGAAAACTCAAGACCACATCTTTTATTTTTAGCTTAAGTAACTGGAAATTTTGTTGCAAATGCCGATTTAAATTTGTCCGACAGAAATTCCTCCGACATTGACGTGTCTACCGGTCGAAACATGCCAAAATAACAGGGTATTGAAAATCAATTACCACATAGGTAATTTTTAGTAAAATTAATTGTAAATAATTAATTCAGTCAAAAAGTATTGTTGTCCGACAAATTTCAAGCCGCGTTTTTTCAGTCCGACAGCTGGAAATCGGAATTTTCACGGGGTATGAAAAATCGATTACCACATGTCGGACAAAAATAACACACGATAGAAAAGTGTTTTTTATAAGCAAAAATTGTAATGTCCGACAAAAATATATCCGCAAATCGTCAGTCCGACAAAAAATGATGAAAAAAATTTCGTAAAAAATGTGCACATGTATTTATAATTTCTAATAAGGTATTTTCATGTATTAAGCAAAATTCCATATAAATATACAATACAGGGTGTTTCAGAAAGACCTCCCGTAAATACAGGGGGTGAGGACGACAAAAAATAAGAATTTTTTGTCATATGAACTATATGTCTATCTCCTCTTCTCAAAGCTCAAGCTTACTTTGAGAAAAGTCACTTATTTTATAGTGTAATATTGTAAGAGTTTAATTAAAAGCCTTTTTTCTCGAAAATCGTCCACATTAGGAAGTTCTAACAAGAGTACATTATTTTTAGAAAATAAAATTGTACAATAGAAATTGGAGCCCGACTGGTAAAAAATCTAACCTTAAAAAAAATATAACTTAAATTGTAATAAGAATGTAGCATAACTAGCGCCCTCTATGAAATATACAAAAAATAATTAGACTAGCGTATTTGGCACCCTTAAAAACCTCGGACTACCAAATTTCATAAAAATATTTCGCACCATTTGGAAATTTTCATAAAAATGTTATTTAAAAAATTTTATTTTGTCTCTCTGTATCTCGAAAACAAGAGGAGATAGACATAGAGTTCATAAGACAAAAAATTCTCATTTTTTGTCATACTATCACCCCCTTTATTTACGGGAGGTCTTTCTGAAACACCCTGTATATATTTTTCGTTTTATTCTTGTAATTGTAAATCTCTATATGCTCAATTTAGCCAAATAAATATCGAGAAAAGAATTAAACGATTTCAAAAAAGTATGTATGGTGTAAAAAAATTATGCACAAAAGTTTTGGGATTTTCTTTTAGAAAAATAGGAAAATTTTTGTAAAGAAAAATAACAAACGCGAATGAAAACTTGAAAGAGAAAAAAGGATTTTTATATCAAGTATAATATTAATTTATTTAGAAATAATGCATTATGCACTAAGATCGTATTAATCGCCTCAAAAATAACTTCATTTGTTTATAACTTTTAAATTTTTAAGCATAAAATAAGCAATATTATAATTATTTATTTGAAACAAATAATAATTTACATAATAATAATTAATAACCATTTATAAATATGAAATTTTTGGAGTGAAAAAATTAAATTTCATCACGTTTATTGATTTATTGATTTTTTAATAATTTGCGGACATTAAATCGTCGGACACTTATATCACTATTTTGTACAGTAAATTTAAAAGTGGAAAAAATGAAAATTAGATATGTGGTAATCGATTTTTCATACCCCGTGAAAATTCCGATTTCCAACTGTCGGACTGAAAAAACGCGGCTTGAAATTTGTCGGACAAAAATACTTTTTGACTGAATTAATTATTTACAATTAATTTTACTAAAAATTACCTATGTGGTAATTGATTTTCAATACCCGAGGAATCGAGAAAAGTCGCAGAGGAAATATGTGGTAGACTCGTCAAAACGAAGCCCCTCAGGAGTTATAAAGTATGTGGTAATCAACTTTCCAGAGGGAGCCTGTACTGTGGACTATAACCATTATTCCACATACGAATTTCTCCTAATATAAATGTCTACATCTTTGAATTATTCTTTTTCATGTTTTAAATGACGACATATTAGTATTATACATTATATTTTAAGAGCGTCTTACAGGAGAAGTTTACACCAACTTTTTACATAGTGAATTGCCATGTCTATTGGAAGATATTTCTGTACTTCTAAGATAACAAATGATATTACAACATAATGGAACTCCTGCTTATTTTAGTCTACTAATGAGAGGGAATCTTAATGAAAGCAGGAAAATGTTATTAGGTGAATCGGACGTGGAGGCTCATATTCTTGGCCGCAGAGATCACCATATATCAATCTTTTAAACCGTTTTAAAAGCTTAGTATACGAGACACCAATTAATAATAGAGAGGCAGATAATTATTGATAAATGTCAGCAAGTGAGGAATAACCCGGGGATATTAAGAACAACCACTCAATCTATTCCTGGCGCTGCTGACCCCATGTATATTATAACTTTTTTACTCGGCATGATCTCAGGAAGCGATCGCCATCCATATGGATAGATGATTTTAAATTGGACATGGTGCTTATTATCAGTGGTTCAAGTGAAATTTGTCTTTTCATCCGTTATAACTCGTGGATGAAAAGATGTAGAATTCAGTCATTGATGTAACGATGTCTCAAAATAAAAGTTCCATACGAATTTTAAAATTTGTCACGTAAACAGTCATATTTTCTGTACTAACAATGAACATCTACAAACTACCACATAATCGGATTTCAGGTGTTGGAGGTGTTGGTCACGCTGAAGAGTTGGGTTATTTATGGGACACGCAACTTTCTAATGAATCACCAGGAGATGATCCAGAAGATGTTGCGGCACGTCACCGTTTGTTAACCCTGTGGTCAAACTTTGTCAAATACTTGTGAGTACTTATATTCAAAATCGCGTGAAGTAATATTTATGCATGATTTTCTTTAGAAACCCAACTCCAGAAGTGGACAGTTTCCTGGGTAACGTGACGTGGGAGAAAGTTAGTCCAAATAATTTGGTGTATTTGAACATTAACGATACACTGGAAATGCAGACGAATCCAAGAGACTACCTCAAATGGGAAAGAATTATAGACATGTATGCTATACCTCCATTGGTTAATTACTAACGTATTTTGAGAAATAAACTGTATCATATACATAATATATCGTTTTTATATATGCAGGGCATTTTCTAATAGGTGCAATCTGGTCAAAAGCAGTTACAGTTACAATTTAGTGATCGTGAAGGTTTTGTATATAAGAACTTAGTCGTAATATCTTAGTGAACAGCGGTATTGAGCATTATAATTGGGTGATTATAATCTATATAGTGCTAACTATATATCTGCATTATTATTATTTAGCAATTATGATATCAACTAAGTATTAATGGTAGTAATAATAAAACAAATATTAAATACGTGGATTATAAAAAACTTAAAGAAAGACGGAAAGAGTATAATTGGACGAGTTATTGTAATGTTTTGAAAAATGATATTAATGTCACTACTGAAACCTTTACAAACTTAATAAAAGATGCAATTAATGAAAGCACAAACACTATTAAACGGAGAAGAAGTGAAATCAAACGTAAAGATTGTATTACAACGGGACTAATTAAATCAATAAATAAAAGAGATTCATTGATTAGAGAACATAAGAGAGAACCTATACTCCGCGGTCGAAATTATAAAGAGTGACTAAGACATGATATAAAAACACTATTACCATAATGCGTATAAAATATAAAATGATTTTTATACGGTTCAATATTATTTATCTTTGTGCCGCTCGCTACGCACATCGATAGAATCTATAATCGTCTAGAGACCGAGTTACACTGAACGTCGATCTATATTCTATCTCTGTCTTTTGCACTTGGTAGAGAATAGGGAAATGCTTTTTTAGTGGGTGTAAACGGACTTGATTTAAC